TGGTGAGTGATCTAGGCAAGACTTTTAATTTAGTTTATAATATATAATTAATATTTTGACATATTAATAAAAATTTATGTACTTGAGTATATAAATAACATGCTTATATAGGAATACATTTATAACAATTTAAAACAAGATATCTTATTAACAGTGAATAAACAGACATTAAATATTTAATATTTATATTATTTCATATTTCAAATTTTATAATTTAATGTAGTTACAACCTTAGCTTTATGCAGGACATCAGAATGCATTTTTATGCAACTTAGCACAGGCAAATTTTTTACTTCTGTGGCTCACCTTTTGAAATTTTTGCATCTATCCTGGTCACTCACAGATAAACCCTAACAGGACTCTAGATCAATGTAGCCACCCCTGCCGTATGCAACCAAAACAGGAGAGGACTGTCTGAAATTGCATTTCCAGGATTTTCTGAAGGTATTCTAGAGAACTTACGTGTCTCTGAGAACAATCTGTGTACGTATGCATGGGGAATATGGAGGAGGGAGAAAAAGCAATTTAGACGGTGGTTCCCAGGTCTGGGCAGCATTGGGAATACATTGCTTCTATTGATGTAGGTACATTGTAGGGAAATTACATTGTCAAGCAGAAAGAATTTAATAGCTTTTAAAAATTTTTCCTTATCACATAATTTTTAAATCATTCCCTGATGCAAATGAAGGAAAGTTTTTCTTGTATTATATATATCGCTGAAGATCTAAGATCTGACTTTCCATTCAATTTCTTTTATTATGCTCTTTCTCAGAAAGCAAATATTTTTATGTGATAATTCTGTTTGACAAATATTTGCTGCTGATATATTCTTATAGTGCTTATATTGTAATATTTAAAACATTTTATTTCATCATTAGTGTGGAACATTTTATGAAGTGGAAATTTGGATCCCTAATCATGTATTAAGAAGAAATGTAGGGGACCGGCGCTATGGCATAGTGGATAAAGCTGCTGCCTGCAGTGCTGGCACCTAATATGAGTCCTGGCTGCTCTGCTTCCTATCCAGCTCTCTGCTATCCTGGAAAAGCAGTGGAAGATGGCCCAAGTCCTTGGACCTCTGCACCCGCATGGGAGACCTGGAAGAAGCTCCTGGATCCTGGCTTCAGATTGACTCAGCTCCGGCCATTGTGGCTAACTGTGGAGTGAACCAGCAGATAGAAGTTTCTCTCTGCCTCTCCTTCTCTCTCTGTGTAATTCTGACTTTCAAGTAAATAAATAAATCTTTCAAAAAAATGCACATTAAAATGTATCAATATTTCTATTTAAAAATTTAAATGACAATTATTAGTGTTCATAATTAAATCTAAAATAATATAGGTCTCGTTTTGTTTTATCGCTCTTTCCATCACAATTTTCATTTTTTCTTTCCATTATTATGAAATATTTCAGTTTCCATGTGTAACACATATTATTGCCTGTAAAAAGGCAGCTTTAGTCTCTAAGTGATTTCAGAGCTCTGTGATTGAGTTATTACAGAATTATACATGAATATATCTTTAGAACTTTAATAGTAGCTAATACTTATGAGCAATTCTTATATGCTGAGACAGAACTAAGTCCTTGATCTATATAATTTCATATACTCTTTATTTCACAAATAAGAACCTGAAGTTTGGGAGTTTAAGTAATTGCTTAAACTAATAAAGCTAGCTTTTAAGTGCCAGAGGCTATGAGGGTGAACCAACTTATAGAAGCACATATTAACAAATTTTAATTTAAGACACTGGCAGGCAATGTACTGAAGAATGCAATATATAACAGTGACTTACTATGAATATAATTCACACTTTTTTATTGAACATAGAACTGGAATTAATGTAAGTGAGGTATGCAGTGGACAAATGCAATGCTATATATTCAAGTGCCAACTAAGACCAGAGATCATAGACCATGCATTGATTCCCGATGGCATGTTACTAGAAATTAAAAGTTGTAAATGCAAAGTACAGTTCCTTCCACAGAATTCAGTGGTGACTGGTGGGCTTTTATGTGTCCACTATGTGCACTTCCACCTATCTTTTTACTTAACATGGTCAGGAGGCATATTCAGACACAACTTTGGATAATTTTTATTTAAAACAAATTTCTTGAAGGAGAATAGAGACAGCTATAAATTAAAATACTCAGTTAGCACAAACTATTTGAGAAGCATGATTCACCTCACTTTGCTTTTAAGACACATAGAAAGAACAGCAGTATTTTAGTAGTGCCATCCCAATTTTCCTACTTTGAGCATTTGCTGAGTTACACATGATGTTTTTTGATTTTCAGAAAGGTTTTCTCAGGGCTTTAATATTGAGTGCTAAATTCCTAATAGGTTTCAGACAAAGATTACTTGGGATCTGCTCTTGCACAGCAGAGGTATGCAATAAAAAGTGGATTCCATAGCAGAGTCGTCTGGAGTACAGAAAAGGATGCAGAAAAACTGGACTAAGCGAGACATGAAAAGAAGCTATTTCAGCTCTTTTGACTCAAGGGCAGACACATATGTATTGAAAATGAAGGATTATTTATGCTCTGAAAAGGTTTTTGGACCAGACCAACTTGACCTTTCTTTTTTTCATGAGTTCTCATATGAAGGCATATACTCCATTTTTCTCTTCCACCTTTCCTAACAATTATCATGGTTATGATTCATATGACTTTCTGAAATGCTTTTATGAGGCACAGAAGGGAATTGGAAACCATGTGCTCAATAAGTGAAAGAAGTCTTCAAAGGTCATGGACAAAATAATAAAAGAAAATTGACATTATCATTTAAAATCTGACCTCATCCCATATTTCTGGTCACCAAGCATGAGTGTGGTGGTTGCCTATATGATTATTTATTTCTCATCAAATGTAACATGATTTCCTCTAAGCTAAAGATCACATCTTTCAATGGTTTTGATACTTGGTGATATCAACCGTAATGCTAAGAATGCTAAAATCCCTTCATGAAACATTTTAATGTTCGGTAATAGACTGTTTCACCGACCAGACAAAACAATTACTGCCGACTATTAGTTATTTCTGAATGCCTGAAAACAAGTACATAATGTATTGTTATTAGGGCATGAAGTACAATTCAGAACAATAGGCATCAGCAGAGTAATCTTTAGTCTTAGCTCAATATGCCTACGGCTCCTCAATTTTCACATTCAGAAAAGCAGTTTGAGTGAACTGGAGGAATAAAAGTGAAATGAAAGAAAAGGAAAAGATACATGCAGATTTTGAAGACAACTTTAGAGAGGGAGAAGGAAGAAACACTGGAAAGAATATTTTAAAAAGAAAGAAAATAAAAAAAAAAATGGGTGGCTGGGGGACAGCAGGGGTTCCCGCACGCTGCTGGGAGTGTGTAAATTGTTACAACCATTTGGAAGGCATTTTGGCCTTATCCAGCAAAGGTAAAGATTTCTGTACAGTAAGACTCAGAAATTCTACTTCTAAATTTATAGCCACCAGAAATATGGGCCCCTGTGCACCTAAAAACATGTACAAAAATATTTTAGCAGCATTTTGAGTCAAATTCGACTCATCTAAATATCCATTAACACAACTTAGACTGGCTGAATAAATTGTGGCTTGTATTCATACAAAGAAATAGTATTTCACAATAGAAGTGAACAAATCACCTCTACCTAAGCAACACGGACTGATTCTTAGAAATATGATTGTGAATGAAAAAGCCCAGGGAGAATATGTACTGTATCAATTCATTCAAAATGAGACCATAATAAACAATATTGCTTGGAGATACATACATAGGTATAATAAGCCCATAAAAATAACAAGTTCTGAGATGAGATTTTCATAAAAATTAAGCATTAGATTTCTATCTGTAAGTGAAGGGGTGGGTTGGAAGTAGTTGTGGGTGCTGACAGCATCAAGGTATACAGTGGCTATTTGTTCCCTTATCAATAAATTGTAAGTTGCTACAGTTACATTTAAGTAATTTATGTTTCTGGACTTGGATGACAGTTACATGTTCCTTTTGTAATAACTTGTTAGGTTCTATTTATGTACATTCCTTTATATGTGTCAAATTTCACAATAGGAGTTAAATTTAAAAAAAATGGTTAGAGAGACTAGGAAAAGTGAAACTGTGGCTTAGAGCAATTTTGTAAAAATATTTATTTTGTTTATTTGAAAGGCAGAGTTACAGAGAGAGAGGGAGAAATAGAGAGACCTTTCATCTGCTGGTTCACTCCTCAAACAGCAGCCACAATGGCCAGGGCTAAGTCAGACTGAAGCCAGGAGCCAAGAGCTTCATCCAGATCTCTCATGTGCGTGTAAGGGTCGAAAGACTTGGGCCATCTTTTGATGCTTTCCCAGGATCATTAGCAAGGAGCTGGATTGGAAGCTGAGCAGCTGGGACATGAACCGGCACCCACATGGGATGCTGGCATCACAGGCAACAGCATCACCCATTATGCCACAACACCAGTCCCATCAGAGCAATTTTTAAATTTTTTTAGGTGAACGAATTTTATGTATTTCATATATACAGATTTAAGAACTTAGTAATACTTTCCACCTTACCCACTTTCCCACCCATGCTCTCACCCTCTCTCCTCCTTCCTTTTCTATTCCTTCCTTTAGTTTTTACAATGATCTACTCTCAGGCTATTTTAGATTAATAAGATTAACTCTACACTAAGTAAAGAATTAAACAAACAGTAAGAAGAAAAAAGCATTTTTTAAAGTCAATTTGAGCATATTTTTACCTAATGAGAATATGGGTAATCATCATTTACCTTGCTTTGCTTTTATAGAAGATGCAAGATTTCATACACATTCATTAGCTGAATTAGAGAGGTGACAAAACACTCCAGAAGACACTTTATTTATAACTTTATAAAACGTAAGATAGCAACAGTGCATGCAATGATATGTTATGATTTTGAATATGGGATTAAATGACTGAAAATATGATCTCAAAGAACCTTCTTAACTTGAATTAAATAATTAATATTTAGAATATTTAGAAATATACTCACCCAACAGACAAGAAAGGCTCCTTTGATTCAAGTCTATAAAAAAATAAAAATTACTTTTAATATGAAAACATTCTATATATTCAAATATTGGCTTCATATAAATCTAAAGGAAGTGTTAAGCTTTTTGGACACAAATGCATAACTTAGCATCAATAAAAAGCTATAAATAATGTATTATAAATGATCTGGACTAATTCAAATTCTGTCTGGATTTATGCCTAGGATAAATAAAGTGAGAGAGCCTTAGGATGGGAATTTACATGATATATAAATATGATTATAGTGTAAATCTAATTCTAATTTGTACTTTCTATATCTACATATTTTAATTACTTATGGTACTTTATAGAAGTTTTGATGTATCGATTTGTGGTTGTTGGACTAGCGAAGACATTTATAATGCATTTGGTTACATATTGGCTGAATAACTGAATCCAAAAGTTGTACATATGAAATTTATATTTATTAAATAAAAGCTTTCTATAAAATAAAAAAAAAAGAACTGGATATTTTTGTTTCTCCTAACATATCAAAGGGGAAGTCTGATCCTGAATGCTCTGGTTACTTGTGATATGTTGAGAACATTACTCAAATACACCTGTGGGTGTGAACATTTGGCCTAGATGTGAAGATACTAGCTAAGGGATCAGTGCTGTGGCATAGTAGATTAAGCCTCTGCCTGCAGTGCCTGCATCACATGTAGGTGCTGGTTTGTCTTGGCTTCTCCACTTCCAATACAGCTCCCTGCTAATGGCCTGAGAAAGAAATGGAAGATGGCCCAAGTACTTGGGTCTCTGCACCCATATTGGAGACCTAGAAGAAGCTCCTGGATCCTGACTTTGGATAGGTTCAGCTTCGGGGAGTGAAGCAGCGGATGGAAGATTGCTGTCTGCCTGTCTGCCGTCTCTCTATAATTCTGCCTCTCAAATAAATAAATCTTTTAAAAAATAAAAAAAAGACGCTAGCTAAGAAACCCACATCCCATAGGGGAGTGCCTGGATTCAACCCCAGGCTTTGTTGCAGTTTCCTGTTGATCCACACCCTGGAGTGGCAACAAGTAGAGACTGGGATTGAGTTCTAGGCTCCTGGCCTAAGTCTGGCCCAGGACTAGCTGTTGGGGATTTGGAAAGTGAACCAGTAGAATGAAGATATCTCTCTCTCTCCAACCCCCCACTTCAAATAAAATAAAGGAATTGATCTAGAATGGTTTTCAAAATTTTTAATTTCATAAAACAATTCTGTATTCTCTAGAAATTATACATAAATCATAAGGGATATCCTTAGACATTTTTCAGATATCCAAGAGAAATGTCAAGGTATGCAATAATTCTCCAGGTCAGAGAAGTCTGAGCTGAGAATATACATTGTAAGTCATCTACATATATATATATGTATATATATATACACACACATATATACATGGTAACTGAAGTCATAGCTGTGAATCTGATAAACTAGCAAGGAAAATATGCGGTAAGAAGAAAAGACAAAATGAGATCAAATGCTCTGTTGGATAGCTAAATATAAGCTTAAATAGACAAAGATGGAACAGCCAGAAAAAGAAGAGGAAAATCAGAAATATTAAAATAAACAAACAAAAAATTAAGGTCAACACTGGTTGCATGGTACATATTGGCCATGCTATTTTCATTTTAGTGTTTTTAACCTACAATTATGGGTTTGAGGTTTGCAAATGTTGAATCATTTTAAATTAAATTCTGGTGTGTAAGAAGTTTAAGAAGCCTTTATGATTTAAAATATTTTCTTTTCATATAAATATTTGAAAGAAAATGACTGGAAATTCAATTCTGTAACATTACTAAAAAACAGCCAACTACTTTTACATATTAACTTAAACAACTGAAGTAGCTGTCTTAGAATTAGTATAGAAACTTGTTTTATGTGAATATAAACAGTGAACATATAAATGTTTTTTCTGTTTTACTTTATATATATATAACAGATAACTTATTGGAAATATGCATTGGTACATTATGGGTACATTATTAGTACTCCTGCGAGGGTTATTATAAAAGAACAGCACTGGCCCTTCCCTTTCTGTTCTCTGTCTGAAGTGATACCTCTCAATCCTGCAGGAGCTCCTGCCCTGGGATGTCATCATCTGTCATCATAATGTGATGCAGTCAAAGAGGGGTTCTTGCTAGGGTGGGAACAATGTTGCTTGGACTTCCACCTTCCAAAAAATGTGAGCTAAATAAACCTCTTCTCTTTACAATGTACCCAACTTCAATTATTTTGTTATAGAAATGGAAAAACAAACTAATACGTATTGTGCTTATTTTTCTTAGACATTTGTAGAAGGGACAAACCAACCAAAGGAAAAAAGTTGAGGATAAACAAGGAAAAATGCTTGGACATGCTTACTTTGTAAGACAAGACCCATGTCAAGTGTTCAAAAGAAAATCCTTTGGAGAAATGAAGGGACTTAAAAAATATAATATGGAATTCTGCTTAATTAGACCATCATGATGATTCTATATCTTTCTTATTTTCCATCCAATAACATTTGAAAAATAGATACCATGTGGGCATTATTGGAATCCCTTTTCTCTGCATTTACCAATCATTTCAGCTTGATGTTTATCAGCCTTTAGAATACGTATGCAAGCTGTCTCCGCAGCTCATTAGGCTAATCCTCCGCCTAGCAGCTCCGGCACACCAGGTTCTAGTCCCAGTCGGGTGCCGGATTCTGTCCCGGTTGCCCCTCTTCCAGGCCAGCTCTCTGCTGTGGCCAGGGAGTGCAGTGGAGGATGGCCCAAGTGGGTCCTGCACCCCATGGGAGACCAGGATAAGTACCTGGCTCCTGCCATCGGATCAGCGCGGTGCTCTGGCCACAGCGCGCCGGCCGTGGTGGCCATTGGAGGGTGAACCAACGGCAAAAGGAAGACCTTTCTCTCTGTCTCTCTATCTCACTGTCTACTCTGCCTGTCAAAAAAAAAAAAAAAAGAATATGTATGTAGATTGCTTTTTTCTGTAGCCACTCACTTTATTTGTTTGAGTACTGCATCATACTGCTTTCCTTAAGGGTGTTGTAAACTTGAATAAAAACAGAGCCTACAATTTTTGCCTTTCCTTCTGCCACTATCCAAATGCTAGATTCAGAATATGCTTGGAGTGGTATTTCTTGATGGATTTTTCTTTTCTTGGAAGATTGCAGACAAGCAACTGTTGGGTTGGAGCACACAGGGATGTATGCTCTCTCACTGATCCTACTGTTTAATACGGTTAGTCTGACAAGCAGCTAGTTGTCCCCTTCTTGTAACATTTTATAAATCACTCTAACAATATCCATCCAAGTGCTAACTCAAAAGAAGATTGCAGAGAGGAATTCAAAGTTTTTGAAATGATGTTGAATCGAATGTTCTGTCTGGTGTTCTATAAGCCAGAGTCTTGCAATCCTATAGGCCAAATCTTGCTCACCATCTGAGACTGTATAATCAACAAGGTAAGAATTTTTTTTTACATTTTTAAGTAGTTAAGATGGCAGAATAGGGAGGGAACTCACTGATAGTCCAGGAAAAGATAGTTTAATAAAAGTGGAGATACTGCAGTCTCAGGGAAGGGTTAGGGAAAAAACTGTAGAGGAAACTCTTCCAGAATTAGTGGGACAGGGTAGACCTACGTGGAGGGCATGGGCCCCACGGCTTGGGACCCCAGCTGCTGAGTCTATGCACCAGCGCTGGAAAATGCAGTGAGGCAAAACCGCAGTAGCCCAAGACACTGGCAGAAAAGTGGCAGGAAGAGCCTAGAGGGAATGAGGCTTGAAGCCTCGGGGAAAGTACACCAGCCTAACTAGAGGAGGCAAAAAATAAATAAAAGGGACCAGTACAGACATGATTCTCTCTCTCCACTCACCTTACAAAGGCGAGCAAGACAATAGAGCAAGCGCCATTTTGGACATACGTAACCGCTGCGCCAGCTCAGGGCTGTGCCTGCCCTCAGCCAAGCAGAAAAACCTGACTCTGGTGAGGAGAAATAACAGGAGACTAAGACCTAGTGAATGTGTGGAGTTTATGAACCGAGACTGTGAAAAAAAAAAAAAAAAACTGAGGGTGTGTGGGAGAACTCACAGTGTGGCTGAGACGTGAGTAGTCTTGGTAGGAGATGCCACAAATTCGGGCAGCTTTGGCTACATGGTGAGAGACATTGCAGGGGAATCTGAGCTTACACTGAGGACTGGAAAGATCCTTTGTGTGGTCCTTGGGACAGAGCGGACAAATATTTTTATACCTACTGGGGCTAGCACTCAGGTACTGATTGCCATTAAGAAGAAGAGCTCAGCTGAGCAGAATTACTTCCCTTCTGAATAAAAGAAAAAAAAAAGAGAGAGAGAGAGAGAGAGAGGGAAAATTTTCCACACCAAACCTAGGTGTGTCACCTTTGGCACACCCTTAACCCTGAAGAACTGAACAGAGCTCTCTGGCCACACCCACCACAAGCCTCTAGAGATTCACGAAACCAGACAGTCCACTTAATCTAGAGTCATAGTATAACTAGAAAAGCCACCACAGCAAGAAAAAAAGAGAAGAAACCAAAGAATATCTCCACAATGCTAAACAAGAAATGCAAAAACTGAGGAAACAAGAACAAGGAAGACATCATGATGCTCCCAAATGAACATGACACTCCAATACAAGATTAAGAAGATGATGAGATAGAAGAAATGCAAGATAAGATTTCAAAAAATTTATGATAAGAACATTTAGAAGTTAACAAAAACAAATGCATGAACTACAGAAATCCATACAGGACAGGACAGAAAATCTCTCTCGTGAAAATGAAATCTTAAGGAGGAATCAAAATGAAATGAGGAATTTAGTAGAACATGAAATTGAGATATTGAAGATTAACCAAAATGAAATGAAGAATTCAATAGAACAAATGAAAAACACATTTGAGAGCCTGAAAAACAGAATCAGTGCAGTAGAAGAAAGAATATCAGACTTAGAAGACAGAGCACAGGAAAGTATACAGTCAAACCAAAGAAAAGAAGAGGAAATTAGAAATCTAAA